ACCGCATTATTTCCTCATAGAGGAGAATCGTCAGGTGTTGACTGAAGGTTCTCTTCTTCCCTACCCCGGCTTGTGGACGTGTTGAGTTCACAAGTTGTTTCGTCCCATACCGCCGTACCCGAACCGGAGAGCGTGTTGAGCTCTCCATTACCCGTACTCCGAAGCAGTCGTGTTGAGACTGTCGAGGAGTGTCCTATTAACCCGAATCACTTGAGGGACGTGTTGAGTTTCTTTCTTTCCTTTGTGCCTATCGTCCGCTGTTATTAAATCGACACATCGTTCACGTAAAATTCCGAAAATACACTTGATTGCCGATAACACTAATTTCATACGACAAGGTCAAACTTAATTTGAATAAATAGGCCAGGTACTGAGAAGACTAAACTAAATTGTAAATATGTACATAAGATTTTTGTCAATTTAATTTAAGGAAGACAATAAAGTTTTATTTTTATTTTGAACTCTGTCTCTGACTGTCCAAAAGCTACCCGGATAGTGACTCCTACGAGAGGACGTCACAGATTGATTTCTTCGTAGAATTATTCAATTTCGTCCTCGGATTTATCTGCAGTAAGTGCATAGATCTGTATTATATTTAGTTTACTTGTGTTTGTTGGTAGTTGGAGAAAAGAGCCGATCTGATACTGGAGTAAAATTAATGATCGACTGCATCATAGACTTAGATACGAAAACTGCTACGCCGTGTCTGTGTTGAGTACTACTGTTTCCGGAGTAATATACCATGCCATTTATTGTAGAAAAACTTCCAGAATTTGGCCACCTTGCCTCACTAATGCCCAGAATGTCGACATTTAATCTTTGAATTTCTTGTAATATATTATGCATTTTGTCTGGATCATACATACATATAAATAAACGAAACCAATTGTCGATTACAGAAAAAAATAAACAAGCGTTTAAATGCATTAACCATTTTACCCTGTAAAATTCTGTCTAAGATGGCATATTAATACGGGAAAAATCAGGAAATGCAACTCCCCTGCACTAGAGATCTAAGATTGTACTATTATCACCAATATCACAAACTCTAATCAGCATTAGCCCAAATTTTAACAAATATTTTGAGTCTTTAATAGTTCAGGCTGTAGCATTTCAAATCACCCTGTATGTATTAAAACACCGAAATATTTTCTCAATCCTTTTACTTCATTGGAATTGATAATATAAACATCTCTGGTTTGTATATAATAATTGTAATTGCATTCTCTTGATCATGAAACCACTTAAGGATATTTCGCGCATCAAATAAACAGTAGTATTTCCGTTTAAGCTTTCGTTTATACTGAGTTGGGCGAATGATGTCAGTCTACAATAGACCACGATATGATTCAAGTTATTTTTTAGTCCGGTTTTTTGTTATTCGTTTTTTGTCATGAGAAAATGTGTAGCCTAGTAGCAGTGTGGATTTTATTTCTATACGATAGAACATCAAAGCGTTTGGTTTTACTGTGAAACCAGATTTTTCTTCAAATATGGTATTGTTTCTTCGTTGTTCGTTTTTGTTATGGAAAAACAGTGTAAAGTTATAGTAGCAGTTAAATGTGTAATTTAAGTGAAAGTTGGGATTAAAATTCAAAGGAAATAGCTTGTGGGTGTAGTCTTCAAAAAACCTACAAATTTTTATATATGAAGAGGTGAATTTTATACTCAAATATAATTTGGCAGTTTTTTGTTGAGTTTAATTGTTGTTTGCACGATTGTTTTGTGCTGTGCTTATTTGAGATATTTTTTAGACAACGCTTGTAACCATTTGAGAGATCCACATGGTTTTAAGAAGCAATTGAGTGGCCGAGTTTTGAAGAGTTCAGTTTGTTAATCCGAAGCCCGAATCAGTGTCGGGTTTTATTGTAAACCAATTTCAACTTGAGTGAGACACAGTTGTGTTTTTGCAGTGTTTTTCTATAATTCAGATCCCAAAAACTTGGTTAAACGAAATACATCAGCCAGTGATACCATGTACTTTTTTTGTTAAAATTTTGCGAAGTAAAAATAAACAATTTTTTATTTATAACAAATTTGCTTTGATGATAAGTTAAAAAATTGTAACAAATAAAATTATAAGTTTTATGGATTGACTAATTGTCATATTGTTCTTCTTTTAAATGCAAATAATTTTAAAATTTAATGAATATTTTAAAAAGTTTTGATATTTCATTTTTACTTATGACAGTTAGTATTACACTGTTCGACATTTGGTACATAACGATAAAACGACACACATTCAAATACAAGCATGCCAAGTAAATGTTTTTGTTTTTGGTGCAATTTCTGCATATAAAACATGCTCTCACTACTTACATTTGCAGCATCGTATTCATGGTTTCTCTGGCTTGGATTTTGAGAACGGTTTGCAACAAAATAATCAAAAGACGTCATTAGGTTCATTTTCAAATGCTTTTCCTGGGTTTATTTTAGTAAGTAAATTAGTTAGAATGCTATTAAGTACTTAACATCTTTGGTGTTGTTTATTCCAGCGTACGATTTATCCTTTTTAATCTGAGATAAAGTTGATTCTTCATGAATTTAATCAGCATTGGCTGACAATGCTATTGGATTGGACTTGTCTGTTGTATTCGAGAAAGAAAACAGATAATCAGAGAAAATATTAAAATCAATCGGCCAGAGACCTGTATTTCCTTGCCACTCCCTACATTTTCGACATTAGCTGCCTTTTCGTATGCTACGCAGAAGACACCGGCAACTTGCATCTGAGAAATTGGCCTTTCTTCGTTGTTCCTGATTTTTTTCCCATCTCTTGATTTAAATATGCTTTCAAAAAAACAAAGAATGAAACGTCCAATAGTTGTGTATGATGATTGCAATTTGCATTAAGCAAATGCTGTTTGCAAATTCGCCACAAGGCAATTTGCTTGTGACGAATGTATCCAGCACAACCGTCTTAAACCAGCAAAACAGGTGACTCTTTGGTTGAATGACGAAATTTTTGGAAATTGAGAACCTAACCACTTGAGAAATACCTCACTTGTTATTTACCCAGATTCTTGAGGAAATCTCACCGAAGCTGTAGGTGCTTCTTATAATGAATATGGTTCCTAATATTTTCTCGGAAATATAAACATTGGTGGAATTTAATTTTCAATTGAGAATGTACAACAAACAACTGTGACATGTATTCCGCGTTTAGCCCTCACGATATTACCAACTTAATTTTTATCAGTAACAGCAAGTATTTTTGGTTATTTCAGCATGGTGGATACTCCAGTCTCATACACATTGTAGATTTGTTTGAAAGAAAATTATATTTGTCAAAATGACAGTATAAGATTTTGATTTGATACAGAGCAGCAACAAGCCGCATATATGTATTTCGATCTCTTTAGATCTCTTCAGTACGGTATAGCTACTACTCCATATCAAACCAAAATATTTTCCCATCGTAGATTATAGTTATTAAAAATAACTATTTACAGACGTAACTACGCCATCTAAGAACAAAAAAAGAAATCATATGATTTCTACCTGACGAAATCGAATTCAAATATAAGCCGCCGTGCTCCCTAAAACTTGCGAAGCAAACAGTTTGATGAATGAATCGGCAAGGGAGTCTAAAAATTGCACTCCAAATGCCGTTCATCAAGGCCTATATTCGTAGTGAATTCGATTTCTGGTACTTCAAACTATTTATATTTGAATATAAATAGTTATATTTGAATTCGATTTCGCCAGGTAGAAATCATATGATTTCTCTTTTTGTTCTTAGATGGCGTAGTTACGTCCATAAATAGATATTTTTAATAACTATAATCTACGACGGGAAAATATTTTGACTGAGGAGATCTAAAGAGATCGAAATACGTATATGCGGCTTGTTGCTGCTCTGTATCAAATCAAAATCTAATACCGTCATTTTGTTTTGTCTATTTACTTCATTTGGAGTACCAGAAATCGAATTCACTACGAATATAGGCCATGATGAACGGCATTTGGAGTGCAATTTTTAGACTCCCTTGCCGATTCATTTATTAAGCTGATTGCTTCGCAAGTTTTAGGGAGCACGGCGGCTTATATTTGAATTCGATTTCGCCAGGTAGAAATTATATGATTTCTCTTTGTTTTTTCTTCTTGAAATACTTTAGGAAATTTTGCTATATTTGGTTTGTTGAATGCCATTGCTCCAGGTATCGAGATATTTTTAGGTCTCCTGAACGAAATATCGGGATATTTATTCTTTAAGCTTTTAAGCCAGTCCTATCCAGTACGTTTCGATTCCTAGTTGAACCTGTGATCGAAATTATTAGCTTCTGCTCAGTCATGGGCAAGTCTCCTGAAATCATCACAACTCAATCCAAATTATCGCGCTTCTAATAATTTCAAATGTTTCACTATTTCGTTCTTTTAGGCGATTGTACGTGTAGTATAAAATCTACTAAGTCCAAGTCGACAGATTTGCGTGGTTCATTCAAAAGCGGTAATGTGCCGTTTTAATGCCGTCTCAGGCCAGCCTTTATACTTGTTCTTTGCACAATGTTACTAAGTTTACTTTACTAGATGTTTAGTATTTATTATTAATATTAAAATTGATTTATCAAAAAATTGAAATCTTCTATAGCATTTAAAATGATGTGGTTGATACTTTCGCTTTACAAAACAAAAACGAAAAAAGTACAGGATTACATTTAACAAACTAGACTACAAATTATAGCTTCCCGATAGATGTATTTGTAATAAGTATTATATATTATTATGTTTATACTTTTTTTGACGTCTACTAAAACTCTTATTGTATTTACACTCATTACAGCCATTTCAATTAGATTTTATTATGTTCCTTACTACTTTTTCACGCTACGCCTCTGACCCTAGCAAAATAAATAACAACCATCTACGGTTATTTTATCTACTACTTTTGAACCTGATCAAATATCAAATTGGGATAGAAATTTAAGTACAAACATTAAAAGTTATCCTTAAAATATCCTAATACTGATTTTTCAAAGTATATTTACTAGTAATACACATTAACCCATAAACACCAAGGGATATGGAGTAGCTTCTTGTTCATTAACAGGTGAAGAATGCCGGTGACTTGGTAATTCTGGCGATGGTTCTGTACTCCTAGTCAGCCAGTAGGTAGTCACCCAACCCTTTCCTTTTAATTCTACTTCGCCTCTTCGATCCAGCACAAATGTACCAAATGTCTCCAGGATTTCTTGAGTCGCTTTACTAACGTGTATTTTCAATGCTGTAATAAATGAACTGAACTTAAATATAATATAATAAATAAATAAATTAATTAAATATAATTAAATATCATTATTAATTAAATAGGTATGAATAAAAAAATAAATATAATATAAATTATATATAGTGAGAGGATAAAGACTTAATCGCCTCTGCTAACAAAACGATATATGTAATATGCCCACAGATCCTGATGAAGAGCCATATTACATTATATCATTTAGAAATAGGGTATCAGCTCATCTTAAAATTAAATAAATATATAAATAACAGGCTCTTTTGTACCATCCCTGATGCAAGGTTTGGTTAAATTGCATGGGCGTACTGGGAAAATCCACTCACTCACCAAAGTAAACTTTTGAGGAAAACGCATGTAAACATTAACCATTTTAAAAATTTCGTACACTAGCTATTCAATATTTGGTTTCCGGATATGATTTTGAATGATGTTAACCAAAGGTGGTGTGCACATACATGTAACAATATTTTGAAAAACATCATTTTATTCATAAAAACTGTGAAAAAATGGAGTTGATTTTTATTGTCATTACATAAATTAATATTTATGGGGTAAAACATTTTATTATTTTTTTTTTAGTTGCCTAATATTTGCCAAAATACTAGACAACTATATACTCGGTTCACATTTTTTTGATAGCTCACTACAAGTTTAATCCTAATTAGAGAACTGAAATACAGAGAGGATAGGTAATACGATATAATAGTAAAAACCAATCTGAAACTGACGGTTTAAGATGTTTTCGACTAACCCTCCTTGTATCTACAGAAATACAATACAGCGGTCAACCTTTTAATCCGATTATAAAGGTATTTTGGCCGGCCAGTGTCGTAGAGTATATGATTGAAACATTTATTTGAACTAAATAAATATATTTTTTAAATTGTATTTTTGTTTTAATAAAACTTCTTTATTTTATTCAAAAATAAAAAGTTTTTTGCCAATTTGCCAATGTGTTTTAAATGTATACATTATTTTCGAATCCATGTTGGCACAACTTTCGACTATGTTGCGGACAGTGTTTGTGGGATTCTGAGAAACCAGAGCATCGTGAACATTCAGGACAATAGTCTTCTCTCTTGGTGAATAGACAGACTTACTGACTGTATGCAACAGTACCGGTGTAAAACTTGATGATGTTGATGATGAAGCCATCACAAACAATCTAACAAAACGAGCACGAGCAAAAGGTACGTATATTTTCGTAGGTATATGGAATAAAAATCACTCACGCACTGCATATAATTCGCAAAAGAAATATTCGAGACGCTAATTACTGCCGTAGACGCGGAAACACCGACGAGCCGTAAATTACATTCGATCAAAAACGTACTAAACAAAAAAATTGTTTCCGTTCGTACTAACTTCACCCTTTCAAGTTAAGTTTCGAATATAAACTAAACAGACGAGGCACGTGACCAAAGCCAGCATCTATACCGATTATATTATTAAAAATCTGGGGAATTCCATTCTAATTATCTTGCAACGGAGAGTACCTTCGGATATGAATACCAGGTTTTCTAGTAAAGTGATTAAACGCGAAGATTAGTATTGAAATATCCAAAGAGATAAGGTATCCTTATTTACAAAATTGTTAATGGTTAAATTATTTTTTTATTAATATAATATAATAACCAACATTAGCCGTGAAAGTTTTAATTGTTTTTTGCTAAATATATTAGTATTAAAACATTGTTAATATTAATAATAATTTTAATGAATAAACACCTCAGAAACGCATATGATGATACAAATTTAACGACCGTTAGATGACTTTAAGGCATATTTCGTGCTACCAACAAACTGTGAACGGATAATAATACAGAAAAGAAGAGAAATGAAAAGCGAGACGGAAACTTAAGCAGAGGAAGCATAAAAATTAAATAAAAGAATATCCAAAGCTACTATAAAAGTCACTCGAAAATACAACCAAGAGCAAATCGAACATACCATTCAGAACAATAGAAGTATGAAAGTATTGAGAAAAAGACTAAAAACGGGGACAAGGCAGATAATAAAGTTTAAAGATAGAAATAGTCATCTTACAACCAACAGAGAGGAAACCCTTAAAATAGTTGAAAACTTCTACAAATTGCTTTACACAAGCCAACACAAAGCAACTAGTAGAAAAACCCAAGTACCAGAAATATTAACAAAGAAAAAGGGAATTGTCAACCAAGGATCAGAACTACTATCGAAAATCACAATGGACGAAATAAAACTAGCCCTAAGAAAAGCTTAGAATAACAAATCTCCAGACGAAGATTGTGTAGTTACTAATGCAATCAAAATCGGAAGCACTTGCCTACTTAAGAAAATAAAAAACCTTTTTAACATGTGACTTTTGGACAGTAATATACCCGACAAATGGCACAATGCTAAGGTAATTTTATTGTACAAAAAAAGGAGATCCCCATGAATTAGAAAACTACAGACCTATAAGTCTTCTTAGTCACCTATATAAACTCTTTACAATAATAGTAACGAATCGTCTTAAGACAAAACTTGATTTCTACCAGCCAGTAGAGCAAGCGGGATTTCGTAACGGATTGGAAACAAATGATCACACACAGAGCGTTTAAACGGTAATAGAAAAGACTATCGAATACAATCGACCACTCGTTTTGCCCTTTGTAGATTTTCATAAAGCCTTTGACACGGTAGAATTTGACAAAATCCTGGAAGCACTACAAGCATGCCGCATTGCCTATCGATATACAATACATACTAAAACGCAACTATGTCGGTGAAACTACATGAAGAGACGGATCATATCCCAATCAGCAGAGGAGTCCGACAGGGTGATACCTTATCGCCTAAACTGTTTACCGCAGTACTAGAATATGCTTGTAAAAAACTTAACTGGAAAGAGCAACGCCTGAACATTGACGATAGAAGATTAACAAATCTTAAATTCGCAGACGACATAGTTTTGTTCTCGGACAACCTCAAGGAAATATATACAATGCTACATGAACTTCAGTTAGTGTGTGCCAGTGTGGGTCTTAAAATAAACATCTCCAAAACAAAATTCATGACAAACCTAGTACCTAGCGGAAATATCAATATTGGAGACAACGAACTAGAGCTGATGGAAAAATACATATATCTTGGACACGAAATAAAGATCACAAGAGACAACCAAATATGCGAACTACGAAGAAGAATAAACCTAGCATGGGCAGCCTATGGAAAACTCATAGACATTTTTAAAAGCGATATACTAATTTCTTTGAAACGTAAAACATTTGACAAATGTGTCTTGCCTGTGATGACCTATGGTGCCGAAACTTTGACATTGACAGCTACAAGTTTTAAAACGCTGCAAATAGCTCAGAGGAATTCCCGAATTGCCATACTGAAATGAAACTGGGCCGAACACGTCGCCCGAATCAGTGATGAAAGGTGGACGAAGAGATTGCTTGAGTGGAGGCCGAGGTTAGACAAAAGAAGTAGAGGAAGACCTCCTACATGATGGACTGATGATCTCAAGAATATGTCAGGAAATTTGATGAAAAGTGCTCGAGACAGAGCACAATGGACACAAATGAGGGAGGCCTATGTCCAGCAGTTGACGCAAAGGGTTGGGTGATGAGAGATGATGAGAAAACATTTTATAATAAAAGAGAAAAAAATTTTTAATATTGATATTATTAAAAAACAGATATACAGAGAGTCAGACACTAACTCAGAAATATTGTGATCCAAATATTTCTGATGTTCACTTATGTCCTCTTCAGTATTACTTTAACAGTTGGTTCAAGTATGACTTCTGTTACCAGTTTCGACGTTAGAAGAGACCTGTAGTACCAACCTCAAAATGCATCGGGTATAATGTGTTTTTGCACAATTTCATTAAATCTTTCTTTTTTGAATACTAATAGGGAGAGGTGGCTGTTTTTTGTAAAACATGGGTAAATCTTTTAGTTGATTTGTTGGCCTTCCCTTTTCGGTGAATATAAATTGAGCCGCCGGAGTGCTTGTCTATAATTGTATTGAACATGACTGGTTCTTTCTTGGAGTATTTTAAGCTTTTAATTAATAACTAGTTAACAACCTTCCCCATCTCGTCTATAGATCTATTTTTAATAAGACATTTTTAAAGTTGCTTCAATGTGCACTTCATGTATTTCTACTGTATAAAACATCCGCTAATGGACATAATTTATGGTTCAGATGTTCATTTGAAAGTTTAAAATCTTCTTCTTCTTCTTCTACTTTTTGTAGATCTTTCGATCTGTTTCATTCTGAAGTTGCCTCTGGTTAATTTCTTGGGAGGTAGATTGCCAACTATCCCTCCATCTTTTAGGTGGTCTTCCGGGGGTCTTGAACCGGGTGGATTGTTTTCTAGTGCAATTTTTGGGAGTCTATTCTCATCCATTCGTCTTACATGGTTGTACCACATCCTCTTGCGCTGCCTTCCCCATCTTACAATATCTTGAATTTTGCACTGCTCTCTAATGTTTGTATTTCTAGCTCTGTCTCTTCTTGTTTTCCCCATTATTGTTCTTAGGGTTTTCATTTCGGCAACCCTTAGCATCTGTTTCGTTTTGTTAGTATCTTCGCTCACTTCTATGCCATATGTCATGATCGGTCGTATGCAAGTCTAATAGATTCTAATTTTACTATCTGTGCGCATATACGGATTTGACCAGACTATCTCCCGCAGACATCCTGACAGTGCAGATGCTTTGTTGATCTGACTCCTCAGGTCCTTTACTGGGTCGTGGGTGCTTGATATATCTATGACCAGATATCCGAATTGCATCACCTGTTCTATGGGGTTGTCCTCAACCAATAACTTACATCTGAGCGGATCTTTTGCTATTGTCATACATTTAGTTTTGTTGGTAGAGATGTTCATATTTAGTAGTCGGCTTGTTTGAAAGAACTGAAAGAGCTGCCTTTGTAGATCATCTTCTGATTCGGCAATAATTGCTGTATCGTCTGCGTAACACACCATACCAATTCTTTTGTTGCCCATTCTATATCCGAGATTAA